ATCTTGTTGAAATTATAATTTTCACTTTCTTTAACAAATCTTTGTACATGGTAATTTTTTTTACTGTATATATCTCCGATGTTGTATAATGCATAGTATACTAGTATACAGTATATTATCCTCAGAATAACCTTAGATCGATTAGAAAATTTAATTTTTATAATTTTAGAAATATTTATCAGTTCCGGAAGGGAAAACTTTTATTTTATTGGTTATTCAATTTCATTTAAAGAGACTTTGAAAGTATTTCATTTATCGTTATATGAACTTGGGGAGATATAGTACTTTTATCTACTATTAATAAAACTTACTTTCTGCACACCAACCGTTGGCGATTTAACTAACTAAATAATTTAGTATATTAATTGTTATCATCGTTATTTTTTCAGCATGTCAAAAAATTTATACATGGAGAAATATTTATATGTGTAATATTATGCTGGATAACAAATCACTATTGGCGTCTGTAAATGCAACTGACAAATATAAAAAATATCTAATCATTTCTGCTGGTTATTTTTCCTTTCTAGATTTACTAATTGACAAATAGTACCTATAGAATTCTTTGAGATTCTCGTCAAAATTTAACTTTCCAGCTAGACTGAAGTTATGTATTATTCTGCAAGAAAGATATATAGAATTATTCCAATTCTGTTATGTATATTCTCCATTCAACATGTGACTTGGACGTATCTTTCGATTATGTGTCGATTATGTGTGTGCGATAAGATTTTGTAATACGAATGTAATACGATATCATTTAAAAATTATTTAATAACAAGCTAAAATTAATGTGGCAGAGTATATAAAATTTTATAGAAATTAATTATCACAAACAAGAATATTCATATAATTATTAAAAATTATAAAATATACTTACATCAAAAAATTTAGCTGTATTTCTTTCTGGTTTTGTCCAAAACATATCTCAATTGGGGTACCTAATTAAAAAAAAAAATTAATAATGAAAATATTACTGTTGAAAATATCGATAATGAAATCGCGAATGTCTTTTCTGTTGATGATGCACAAATTTAGATTTAATATTTGAACAAATATTTAAATTCTTTTAGGAAACAAGATTATCTATACTTGCCTATGGATTGGCCCATAAAGCTGAAAAGCCAGCAGAAATGATTAGAGATGCGGTTACAGGCGCTAATGGTGATTCGTTAGCTTAGCATAAGATTACACACATCATAAATGTTTCTCCATGTATAAATTTTTTCGAATCAAATGCTGTGAGATTTTACATGCTAAAAAAATAACGATGATAACAATTAATATACTAAATTATTTATTAGTCACTTCACACAAAATAAAACATTGCTAAAACAAGGCTTTACCTGATTATTAAAAAGTAAATAATGAATATGTGTCTTCTTTTTTTTGTCTTCTTTTTTTAGGTCTTCTTTATCTTCTTTTTTAGGTCCATCTTCTCTTGACAAGTCTTTATATAAAATTTTCTCGAATTTCTTTCTTGAAAAAATTGAATTATCACGCAAATTTTATATTTATATTTATAAGTGATACTGAGGTTTATTTTATAGATTATTTTGGTCAGCCTGTTGCTGGCGACAGTGACGCGGCTGACGCGCGTGACAAACGGAAATCATAGTATCATACATAAAATACCTATAATGTCCTTCGCTTTGCTTCGGATAATAATTTTACCTACAGATTTGCCAATATCAGACCGGGTTATAATATTATATAAGATCTAATTTATCTAAATATAAAACAAAAAATATTGTTATATTGATTTAACCCTGTTGCAACGCAACAGGCTACAGCTAGTGTCACCCTAAAAGGAAATCAATTTTTCAAATTTACGATTCCCGAAAATTTTCTTGCAACTGGTATAGTAGCACTTCACAACATACATTTTCCACATCAATCAACATGATTTAATCATAAAATACCAAAATTTGAAATATTAACAACTAAGAAAAACTCTATCGTTATTTCTAGTGTAATGATGATGATGTGGAAATTGATGTTATACCATCTCTCCTAGTTCAAATAAAGATTAATAATGTTGACGATTTTTATATCAAGAGAAGAATCAGATCACCAAGAAAATGAAGCACCGAATGCGGATGATGATGATGATGATGGAGTATTTAAGTTCAAGATAGCTCGATAGTGATCAAGGATTATATAAACCCTCTAGTAGCGTGCAACTAAAATGTCCAGATCAAAAAAACGAATCAAGTGCAAGATGAATCGACAGTGGTCAGTACTCCTCTTACAAAATTGAAAAGATAGAACGGCCTTATTCAATATAACTGGTACAATGTTTCCAGAATTAAAATACGTCCCGAACATTTGTATTTATTTTTTATCTTGTATTAATAAAACGTTTTTACATTTGCCACATAACATTAAATATTTCTGTATAATATTATCATCAATCATATCAGTTAGTGAAGTTAACCCATCCGAGCACGAAGTATTGAGACAGCGCGTCATTGGGCTTGAGGCTAAGAATTCTAAGACTAAGGCCGATAAAGCTGATATTGAGAATATGTAGGAATATACCAGGCGTGATGCTAAAAAAAATCTGAGTTTAAGGCTAGAATCGAAGAGCTGGAGAAAAATAGGACAGATACTGTTGCCGGCCGAGAATGCTGGACTTAGAGAGTTGGTGAAATTGGAACAAGAACTTAAAAAAGAATTATAGTCAAAGAAGAATCGTAAGTATTGCTTGGAGAGGAATCCCTAGTTGAATATCGGCCATCTTTTATGAAGGGATTAGAACTTGATGCTTTCTTCCGACATCATCGAATGGCATTAGAAGTGCAAGAGGCACAACATCGGCTTCATAATACTAGCTAGTATAAAGATGTGATGAGAATCCGGAAATCACTATTCCTCAGAAGATATATAAATTTAAAGAGTGTATTGATCGAAAACACTTTAATCTTGATTAATCCTTATAACAACTTAACATCATGTGGCTAGTACGGTAGTACCTGAATTCGTAATTGCATGTGGCTTATATGTTAAAATTATGTTTTCAGAAAGGCAGATCGAGTATTTGCTAAATCGATCACCTAAAATGCGCAGTATGATATATTGATATCGGAAAAATTCTTGCCGAAATAATAGAGCTGTGCAACATATGACTTAAAATGATGTTAATTGATTGTTCCTGCTCTATAGATGCTCAAAGTCGAAGCGAACATATTGTTATTCTTTATCCTTTTAACATATTCATCATGATCTTCAGGGTGAAAGGTTCCATTATTTTATTTTAATAGTTTAGCCGACGCCGGCCCTTTTCATTAAAAATATATTTTCACAATTAAAATAAGCAAGTAATAAAATAAGTTTACTCCTTGACAATTAAATAGATCATGATATATTTATTGATTAATTGTGCAAACAATTATGATCCTGCGTAGTAATTGTTTCACATAATATGACTTTCTGATTGTATTTATACATCATCTCTCAACTCTTATCAATTCTATTCATCTCTCAAATTTTCAATTATCAACAACAGCTAAAATGACCACCATCCCCCAACAACTAGGCTTCGATGGAGAAGAAACAAAAGTCTTTAATGAGTTGACCGGACGAGAAAGAAGAGCATTTGACGCCCTGCCAGATAACAATTCAAAAATTCATTTTATCCGAGGTATGGTGGTAAAAGAAAGGTCTTGGCGCGAAAAATCGGTATGTTTAGCTAGGAGACACGTATTCTGTTTAGAATATTTTACTGACATTATTTCAGCGCCTTCGTCGCTTCTTAACATACCTTTTTCGTTAGGAAATTAATCAAAAGCTAATTTACTGTGGCCTCTACCTGGGCGCCCTGGTTGTAACTATTTCTCTTGGTTCGACTACTTACAAAAAACGACGATAAAAAATTAAGATTTTTTTCATTGATATTAAATTCGCTGATTTTTTTTGTCGAGATAATTATGTTGTTAAATAAACTGCGGTGGAGTAATATCGATTATTATTATATTATTTTTTTATGTATTTTAATAGTTATAGGAATTAGGAATATTATTATCGGTATTTATACCGATATTTTTTCAATTTTTATCTGCAAATACTGTATTTTTTTCACCAAAGCTGGAATAATTTTTAGCGATGTTTTGTTTAGTTGGATTATCTAAATAGAAAATTTGATAATCCATTTTTCGTGTGACTATAATATTTGTAAATTGTACTTATTTCCCAATAAAATGCGATTATCGTACTATCTTTTTCTAACGAAAGATTTCCAAACTAAAATAAATTAGTTAGAAAATAAGCGCATGTTTACTATGTTCAGACAGTATGAAGAGGCTCTGGCGAAAAATATTGGAGGCAAAAGTTCTGGACAAGAAATTACGTAAGGTGAAATATTTCGGTTGCAAACTAACACCATTTTTCGTACAGAATTTCCAAGGTTTGTTAGAGTCAACGACAGCATAAATTTCCTATAAAGTTACTAAGTCAATGTTTTTTGGTGCATATAGGTTATGAGGAAGTGTATCTTTTGCCCATCTTCATTAATTTGCAAGGGGGGTTAGCAAAGATTCGGGAATCACTTTCTCCTGGACATTTACCAGCGCTATAAAAACAGACCAGGTTTCCACCTTCTCATCCAAGGTTCAAATATGTCGAATTCAGAACATATCGATGAGCCGAGACAGGAGGAAGAAAAAAGCAATAATCCGGAATCTATCAAGTCAAGACTCTTGCTTATAATATCCTGAAGAATCTCGGAGATAACCTTGTCAAAGATATGGAAATTACGGAGCTAGCGCTGTGTCCGGAATGCAATAACAGTCTTTTTTCAGACTCTCTTAAGGCACTAACCTTGCTTGAATGTGGATATGTGTATCATAGAGTATGTATTGAGAACCGTTTTTTACTTTCTTCGTCGAATTATGTGTGCCTGTTCCCCGATCGTGGGAAAAATGTTGAGAGTATTAACCGACCGGAGGAATTAACTCCACAAACTCCGCAAGAAGAAGGGTACTAGAGGAACAGGATCAAAAATGGACGTAGATGAAGAACAGAATAATGATTATGATAATGGGGAAATAGAATCAACTCAGCCCAAGAAAACCGGTTCTGCTTCCTCTAGCAATAAGGGTAAAAAACGGGCTAATGAAGAGGTCCCCTTGGGGCCAGATACAGACTCTTCCTCCAGAAAAAAATTTAAGAAACATGGTCAACCAGAGGACTCTTAACATTTTAAAAAAGCTTGTCCGGGAGTCATCTTCCGACACTACTCGACTTTCTGAAATTATTCTCTATATCTTCGATTTATGTAAATTTAACACGCATCTTATATTTCTTAGTTAAATTTCGCACTTCATATTTGTCGTGGTATTGCGTATTTGAATGCATTAGGTATTAATAATGTACGTGTTACATTTTTATCTAAACGAGAATTTTTTCATTTATTTTCTTTACCATGTTTTGAATGCGAAAATATAATGGTACGTATAAAATAATAATTATTACGAATAAAAATATTTCCTAAATTATTATACTTTCTTTTTTTCTAAAAAAAAAGGTAACAGAAAGCAATTTAGCAAAACTTGCCAACTTCGGAACTTCGCGTGAAAAACATGATGCAACCACGACAATCGGATCTCAACCTGAACGCGTTCGTTGGCTCGCTCCTGAAAAATTAAAAGATAATGGACGCCGCTATGATCACAAGTGTGAAAATTTCAGTTTTGGAATGAATTGGCTTTTAGTAAAAATCCATACGAAAATTTTGAAATTGATAAAATTTCAGATCATGTGATTGCCGGCGGTAGAGAGATTTTTCCAACACATGGTACTATCGAGGTTATGAAAAGATCGTTATAGAAGGTACTTAATTATATATTAAAAACCTTTTATGTTTTATTTAAATTTTAATGTTTATTTTAATTTACACATATTTGAAGCCTAGCGTCATGATCCTGACATGTGTATTAGCATTTTAAGTAAAATCATGAAGGAGATTTAGGAAAAGTAATGAAGGTAAAGATAGAATCAATTTAAAGAGATTTTTGGTTTAATGGTTGTATATTCAAAGAAATATTTATGTTTGCTAATAATAAGCGAAATATATGGTTATTGGACGCTCTATTATGTTTAAACGATAATGATGAACGTAGTAGACGGAGGGTTCATAACCATTGATGAAATCTTAACTGAAAATATTTACTACTAAAGTTTACAAGTTTAAAGTCTACAAAATAATGTATGTCTCACAATTAGTAACAGAAGACAATAGATTAAAGGTATGGAGTCAAGTTACTTACGGTAAAAATGAAGAATGTGGAGTACAAGAAGAATCTGGAACGTGAATAATATATATGAAATTGATAAAAGATTTATTTAAGGCTAAAATTAATTTCGAAAAAGTTGAAGCACATTGTATAGTATAGTAGTTAGTAGTAGATAAGACATTATAAGTGTAATTATCAATATGTATTTCGACAAGGTCTGTGCCATATATTAAAAAACATTAAACAAATAAATTATCAATATTTTCTAATCGGACGATACAGTACAGTACATTTAAAAAACATCTATACATTATTCTTTAGAATATCTCTTCCTTTTGCTCCTTTCCAATCCAATTTCTTACTTATATCATCTTTTTTGATTTCTATGATAAGTTAGACTAACAGTGTAATCTAATACTGTATATATTTCAAATTTGACTATATAGATAATGGTGTTTCTTTTTTAATTTCAAGTACAACTTTTACTATTTGGGACTACTTTGTTCAAGAGCTAATATCATAAATATTTCTAAATATACAGTCTAAACACCAGGGACTCCGCCCCTGGATCACCAAAGCCAATAATGGATTTAAATTGAGATAATTATGTAAGGTAATTAGTACTGAGAATCATTAAAAATAAAAAATTATTTACAAAGGTAAAGGAATGAAATCTATTCTTACTATTCATACTCTTCAATCATTGATTGGTCGAGAAGAATTTAAAGATGTATTATAGTTAATCAAATATTTTTGGTTATGTTGTATTAAGCCAATGTCCAAATTGGTCAAATGTTTAACTAAGAATTAAAATCAGTGTTTTATGAGAAAGGGAAATTGACATCTACTAGAAGGGTTGTTATCAATAAAATATGATGCAGTATTTATTTTAATACTTACAGTCAAACCTCGATATACCGAAACTCACAGTTCAAGAGCAAAAGTTCGGTATATAGTAGAAGTTCGGTAAGTAAGTCTTTCTTATATACAGCTAGATCTGTCACGTGATTAAGAATATTAATTTTTGCCAGAATTAAGATTTAATTATCACAAAGACCAGCATAAATTATGTGAAATTCCAAACACGTGATCGCAGTTCGGTATATCAAGATTCAAGAATTTTTTTTTGTATAAATGATAAGTCAAAGTATACGTTATATCAAGTTTTATATGAAATTCAGTATATCGAGATTTTTTTAAATAATATGAACTGGTTTTAAAAAAAAGTTCGGTAAATCAAGAGTTCGTTATATCGTGGGTTCATTACATTGAGATCAAACTGTATATCTACAATCCCACCCATTACTATCCTAACTTCTAATTTTTCTAAACATCAGTTTATTATATATATTATATCATTGCAAATTTTATGTTCTGACAATTCATTTTTTTTCAGGATACTTTACTATTTAAGTAGGAAAAAAATATGTAAGAGCGTACAACATAAATAAAATTGAATAGACTATGTTAGATAGGGGAGCCAGTAGTTCTTTTTAGTTTGTATTATTTGTATCAATGGTTTTTATATTGTTTACTTTTTACTTTAATAAATTGACTTACAATCTTAGCAAAAAAATAAAAATAAAATAGGAGGCCATCGGTAAAAAGATAATTGTTTAATTTAATTCAGTTAATCATTCAGTTTCATTTCTTTATAAAAAAGAACATATATCATTATAATACAAATTAAGATCTCAAATTCTTTTATTTTGAATTAATTAAAAAAAATTATTAGTTTACAAAAGAAAAAGATCTAGATAAAATACACGCAGAATAAAAAAAAAAATAATTACTTTAAAATATACAATAAATAAATAAGCAAATAAAAAATAAAAAATTGAAGAATTATAACGCCCTCTTTTTTTGAATACCCTTTCCCCTTCACAAAAAAAGAAAAAAAAAAAAAGGTTTAAATAAAGAAAATTTCTATAATCAATATTATACAAACTCATTTCCATCTATAGGAGCTAAATCTTTATAGTCTTTTATCAAATTATCACGAATTTTAAATAATCCTGAAGATTTCATACTCGTACGTATAGTAGAATTATTATGACATGCTAATATATTTATTGTACTTGCAAAATGACGTCGAACTGACGTGGTCGTAATTAAAATTTGTTGTTGTTGACTTTGAAATGAATTATTATTGGAATTAGTTATAGGTGAATAAGGTGGAGATGGTGGCATCGAAATAGGTTGACTTGTATTAATGATAAGACTTGATCTACAAGATTGTGATGATGATGAATTTGAAATGTTCTTACGAAGATGATCATCAAGGTATCGAAATAGGATTCCAAGATTTCTAAAAACATAACTTGAAATTTCCGTGTTAACATTAGGATTCTTATCAAAATATGAAAGAAGAATGTCAATAAGTCGAAGTATAAATTCTTCAGAATCACTTTTATTCGAAGGATTTTGTGTTGTAATTAATGCGCCCTTTGTTTTTGCTGTGATAGAATTCTTACGCGAAACATCAAATACCATCATTTTCTGTATAATCGTATCAGTCATCGTAAGTATACGTTGACTATAAATAGTGCTCTCATTAATTTTTGACCTTTCTCTTAGAAAAATTATGATCCATTCTAACCAATTTTGTTCCCATAAACATCTCATATTATCAGGTGTTAATATTCTTTTTATATCAGCTAATACTTGGAATACAAGTTCAGAATTTTCAGATATTTTAAGTAAATCAAATATTAAACTAATAGTTTCAGGATATATTAATTCTTCGGTATTCTTATTCATTGATCGAGAGATGCTATCTTCCGAATTTCGAGGTGAAGAACGTTTTAATATAGGTCTATCCAACATGGTTAAAGAACAATTTTTAAATTCTGGATCACAATAATAAAATTTTATTCCAACTCCTATTAAAACTTGTGTAAATTCCAATGAAAGTTGATGCATTACTAAATAAAATCTCATCTTCTCAAATCCATTATTTTTGGTAAGAACTCCTCTACTATGTTTAACATTTGAACTCATTAAAATCCCCATCATTTTAAGAATTGTAATACGGAATTTTTCATTAGGAGCTTCAAGAAATGGCATTAAAAGAGATAGACCTTTCAATCCACGTATTTTTTCAACAAGTTGTACATCAAATGTCATATTCTTATAAATCATGCAAATAATGTCACATTTAAGTTCAACGTTCATCCATTTGTCCTTTTTCAAATATTCAAATAACTTTGTTAGTTCTTCAACACTTAAATCCAAAATCATTACTTCAAGTGTTCGCATTATAAACGGTTGGAGTGATGTAGGAAGGTTATCAATAAGATCAAATAAAATACCCAAGCCAAGGCTATTACGCCACGTTTTAAGGTTTTCTGGCACATCAACCAACATGTCCATTAAAGTCCGTACTACTGGCAATTGTACAGATTCTTTACAATTAATTAAAAGATCGATAATAATTCTCAAAGGATCAATGTTCGTAATGAATATTTGATCATTTTTTGTGACACCATCACTAACTATATCTAATAGCACATTGAAATGTTCAGAACATAAAATACTATAATCTCTACTCAAAGATTTACGAGTCACATCAAACCCATTTTTTTCCTTAAACTTTGCAATATTCTGTGGACTTTTATAAAGTAAATTAGATATTGTACGAAGACCAATTAATTGTTGTTGAGGATCCATATCTAAGATCTGTAAACAATTTTCTATTCTCCCGGTTTGTTCAATAATGTCTTTCATAGAACGAGTAGCATGTACAGAACAACCTCCTTCCATTTTCCCACTTGTCTTTGTAAAATCCATTGAATCCGAATTTCTTCGAGATTTATCATTTTCAATTATAGATCTTTGTTCGCTGCTCAAGTATGCTTGTGGATGAATGGCCATCACTTCTTTATTCTCTACGCCAAGTAAACGATAATTCTTAGAATAAGCTGGACCTTTATTGAAAATTTTTTCCGATATTGCTTCATCCCAAAGTCCTCTGAATAAATAAATGGAACCAATTTGTCCATAAAAATAACTATTGATTGCGGATTTTGATTCATTATTAGTAGGATAAACTTTCTTTCCACGACGTCCAATAACAGCAACAATTTTTTCTTTTCCTGTCATCTTTGGATAATTAAACATATTATATGATTGTATCATAGATCCATCAACGATTAACGATGTACTATCTTTTGAATGAACAAATACGACATGATGCCAAATTCCAATTTCTTGAAAATCGAAACCATCAAAAACAAAATCTTCAGGTGGTAAAGGAAAATGTTGCGTTCGAACACATAGACAATATCGATTCGATCTATCCATATGTTTAAAATAAAGTTCAAAAGTTGTATTTGTCCCTGATTTATCTTCATAACATAATAATCCGGTTTCATTTTCAAAGAAAGCGGTAACTTTAATCCACATGCTAAGCGTGTAACCATTCTTCATACTAGGAAATTTATCCAAAGGAGCAGTTTGTACCACACCGTCAACTCCATTGAAATTAAAATAACAAGATGGATCCATTCTTTCGGATATTCGTTCAATTGAGTAAATCATTTGCATTTGTATCTCACGAATGAAGAAAGGATCAATTTTAATTGTTGAATTTTTAGGAGAGGGTAAAGATTGTGAGCTAGCAATTGATATTCTGCGTGATCCTCTATCCAAAAAATGTCCAAACATATTAAGAGGATCATATGCTGCCTCAAATAACAATGAAACATCAGAGTTTGTGATATCATATGCTCCTAATGCAGGTATTAAATCTACATACGATGGTGAATGTTGTTTAAAAGGTTCTACGTCGTTCGTACATTTACCTTTTACAAATAAAACTTCCATTACGAATTTCAGGGCACCATTAGCACATAAAAGTTCTTTATTACGTGGATTAACCTCCATCAACATCATTAATAAATTAAAAAAATAATGTTGTAATTTATCATCATTTCCATCTGCAATATTATAAAGAAGCTTTAAAGCCATCATTGCAGCATCTGAATCTCGAAAAATAATTCCCGCCCAATGTCGAAGCTTATCATTAATTGTTGAAGAATTTGATTTGACGGCATTGGAATTTAAACCAAATCCACCTAAATTACGAGAATTACTTCGTTTTCGAGTTGCTTGTTTATTCTGTTGATCAATCATTTCTTCGGTTTTAAGTCGATCAACAGGTGATAATGTAGGACTTAGAAGTTGCATGCTACTTCTAGAAACTGTATCAAAACTACCAACTGGCGCTTCAGGGCCAAAATTATTACTCGATATGGATATTCCGGACGTATTATTAGAATGATTTATTAAACCATTCTCGTCGGGAATATTACTAAGAGATGACGATGACGAATCATTTTTAGCGTTCCCTTCATAAAAATTCGTCGAATGCGAAAGTGAAGTTTGGCTGCCTACAGTTGCACGGCTGCTATTACGTTCGTGTTCTTGTTTTTTGCTGTGTATAAAAAAATACTAAATAAATAAAAATTAAATAAACATGCATTAAAAAAAAAAAAACAATTCTTCTTTAATACCTCTTTTTATTAAATCCAACACGTCTTTTTTGCGTAAACGGAAGTAATTCTGTAAATAATGGGATTGGATCTAACAATCCTGAAATAAAAGGCATAATATCACTACTAATCAAAAATGGATCAGCTGTTCCAGGGCATTGAGATAACGATTGTCCAATACTTCCAATTGTTGCAACTTCAAGAACAATCTCACAGCATGTCCTTATAAAGTAAAAAACATTAATAAATAATGAATTGTTTAAATAATTATATACACATATAATCATACTTACTTGTCAATAGGTGTTACTGAAGAAAGGATTAATTCTAAGAAACCATCATATCCAAATAAATTTCCCAATAATTGTTGTACACCTTCATAACCGGCAAAAAAATCACCAACAGTTACAAGAGCAGCGGATGCAACATTAGAATCTTGTGTATGACTTATTATTCCTAACATGACTTCTAAACCACCAAATTCTCCAAATAGCTGTTTTGCTTTATCACTCTTACGAAGTACAGAAGATACTACGTTGCAAACTTTTGTCTGAAGCCACGGAAAAGTAGCTCGTTTTGGACGTTGAAGTGAATTACAAAGATTTTTTGGATTTAATAATGAATTTACTCGCGAAATAACTGGAGTTTTGCTACTTGCAATGGAATTTACTTCAGTAGAATTTGGAGAATAACTGATATTCGCAAGAATATACTTCGTTAATTTTATCATCCACTATTTTAAAAAATAAATATTTAAACATTATTAATTAAATTGATCATTGATGACAACACAGAAAGGCATTTAAGACGTTTAAGACAATTAAAAGATAATCTTAAACCTACCTTGACACTTTCAATACAATCCAAGCCACAAACCATATATTCTCTCAATAACCAAAGAGCCATATCTGCAACCATTATATCTTCTTCTAATCCAAGATAATCCTTCTTAGTAGACAATTCTTGAGTATCATCTGCTACATATTCTACACATGCACTAGAAAGAACTATAGCATCATGGAGTGTTTCGAATCCTTGTAAAGCTTCAAATAACTCCATATTTCTTCCTGTGGCATCAACCAATAATCCAACGATATGTAAAAGAAGAAGATTCTGTTCAGCAATTAGTACTCGTTCAAACTCGTTTAAAATTACGTCCGTTTTAGTTTCAGTGTTTAAGCGTGTATTTAAATCTGATGCCAAACCATCAAACTCGCACATTTGAAATATATCTCTTATAAATTGCAAGTATATACTCAAAAAATTTTTCTCAACGTCTTTGTAACGACTAAGAAGGTCAGTTAACAAACGTGAAACACTACGCAAGATGATATTAACAACAATAGATCTTGATGGCAAGCTAATTTCCATTAATATACGTGTATATTCCTATTAATTGATAATATGTATTAAATTAGTTTCGATTTACTTGTAAAGATTTAGAATTAATTTTCGCTTAACTTACTTTCAATATATAAGAATTGTTCTCACTTAAAATAGTGGCCATATATTCCAACAACCTTGTTACAGCTACTAAATAACGATACACTGGATGTGAATCAACAGTTTGTGCAACTGGAGATCCGGCAGAAAATAATGACGGAGAATTTGGATCCATCGCCGTTTTATCATATCTTATATCGGGGAAAGTTTCACAGCTTGCTTGAGATAATTCTCCCAATTCCAATACTCGGCAAAGATCATTAATATCTCCATTCACATGAATTGCGGAATTCAACATCTTCATCAAAAGATCCACCCCACCAACTTTCCATGCAGCAACTGCATTAAGACAATTTGTTGTGATTAAATCTTGAATACAATTAAGAGCGTGTTGCCGTATATCAAGATGAGAAGAAAAGACCATCGTACGAAATACAAGATTCAAAGCATCAATGTTGCCAACAATCTTCAAATGTGAAAAAAAAATAAAAGTTAATGATTATTTGGTTTTAAATCTACGTAAAATCTAAATTACTTTTTAATTTTTCTCTTACCTTATCTTCATTATCGTTAAGACTTGTTATAAAGAAAACATTAAAGCAGTCTTTAAGAAAACTTTCACGTTCTCCCACTCCATCTTCCAGAACTTGATCAAGTGCTTTAAGCATAGTTGTATAGCCGTCCATCTTTCGAAATTCGGCCTGATTTGCTGTATTATGAAACAATAACTTGCAAATGGTCTCTATTATGTCTAACTTTGATATAGTTGTCACACCTGAATGAGACACACCTTCAGACAATATGCTAGTTAAAGATCGAAGAGCACCTTGAACGCGCATATATTCCTAAAGTAGAAATTTATTAGTATACGGAATATAATAAAATTTAAAAAAAAATTTTAAGATTATACCTTTAACATATCTGAATTATTACTATTAATATTAAATTCTTTAAATGAAATCGTCGAATTTTCTGTGCTTTCATTTGTTGCAACAGATGAGACACTTGTTTCAGAATATTTATCAACTTCATTATCCGAACATCTCTTATCACTACCGCTCGTGTCTGTTGAAGAATCATCTTCATCTTCTAGACATGATGATATAACATTATTGTTATCGTTACATAAATTATTTTCGCTGATTAATATATTCGAATTGTCCTTTTCTAACACATCATTTTGATGGCAAGATGATTCTTGATTCGAATGAATTAAATTAAAACGCGGTATTATAGATGTTATTTTATCCGATGAAGGTATGAAAGAAATTCTAAAACATTTTTTTTTTTAAAAAAAAAAATAATTATAATTTTTGAAATATGCATGTGTGTGTACAATTATACAATTTAATAAAAATTTCATACCTTCTGTCAATTCTTTTATCATTAAGACTATCACCATGATTAACCATAATTTCACTTGCAAGTGCGTGTAAATTTGGAAATACTCTCCCAAGTTCAGTAAATATCAATTCCCGCATTTCAGCAACCATGTTTGAAACTTTCCCTCCAACAAGGCTACTAAAGAAAGTATTTACATTGTCCCTTTCTTCTTCATTAAAATCATTATCATAAGAATCGCATCGAGAAATAAAATTTTCATCATTTAATGTCATATTTATATCATTGTCATTAATATAATTATTACGATTTTTTGATATACTTCTACCAATATTTGAAAATCCTAGACCCTTTTTCTAATTTATTATTAATTCGGATTCGAAAAATAAACATATTAGAAAAATCGTTTTCCTTTTTTTTTTTTAAAAAAAAAAGAAATACTTTAACATACCTGAATATCTTCATCTCGAACTTCAAGAAAATGTTTTATAGTTCTAACAATTTCTGATGTTAACTCAGGATCATCTTCGATTAATAAACGTAAAATTTTTTTGAAACCTTGATGTCGACCTATTTCAATTTTATTCCAATCATTTTCACCCAATGTACTAATAACTCTCAAAGTTAATTTTTTAGCTTCAATTGTATTTAATTTTTCCAATAATAATAATATTCGATAAATTAAATTAGGAGTGTTTGCAACTAATTGTCGATATTTTTCATCCTATAAAATTACAAATTAATTAATTTTGAATTTTTAATTATCTTAAATAAAAATATTACTATTAAATTTTAATATTTAAGGTTGCTTACTTTTAATATTAATTCAGCTACATTTAATGCTTTATTAACTAAATCAGCTACTCTTTCAACACCAGGATCTGGCTTTTCTTTGTTAACTTCCCTTTTTAAATAAATAAATAAATAAATAAATAAATTTACGTTAAATATGTATTAAAATTTAAAATACTTTAAAATAAATTTTAAGTATACATTACCGATCAATAGTATTAAGTAAATTCACTAATACTTCTGAACAATCACCGTATATTTTATCCAACGAAAAATCAGTTGGTATAATAATTCCTGATGCGCTCCATTCTTTATAAGCTTCTTGAAAAATATCAAGAAAGTTTTCAAGTTTTTGAATCATCAATTGAACATCACTATATAAATTAAAGAAAAAAAAAATTATTATTACTTATAATTCATAAAATATAATATATAATGTATGCATATATATATTTAATTATATTTTAAATCTATTTTTTTTTTTTTTTTTTTGAATGCAATTATTTCAATGCGCATATACATTAAATTGCACCTTATGCCAAATTATCTTCTATTTAAAATTCTTGAATCTTGAATTCTATTTAATCCGCCTAACTCTTAAATCTAATTTAATGAATATGATAGACAATAAGTAGTTCTAATGTTAATTTTGGTGGATATCCAGTATTCGATTAATTCTTCCAACTAATTAATATAATTATATAAGTAATGTAAAAGGAACTTATCAATAATGATAAACTTACTCTTTATCTGAGACAGAAAGATATTCCTGCCAACAATTTTGAATACGACGGTAGGTTCTGTGAATAGCCCATTTCTGTCGCAAAGTTGCCATTGCAAAAGTGATAGGCAACACGAATATTAATAAAATTGAAAAAAGGTCATCAGCAGATGGGAGGTAGTATTCCAAAAAGATTTCAAACCCTTTTTTTTTTTAAAAAAAAAAAGAAGAATCACTCTTTCAAAATCCGATTAAAAGAAAATAAAAGTGCCGTTCTTGTTATATGCGAGTATTTGTGATATCATATAATTTTTTTTCTTTGTGATGTTATCATCGAGATCACTCGCAGTTTTATTTGCGGCTAATTTCCTATAATTTCTAAGATTGATTGGCTGAAACCTAAATAAATGGAAAAAATTTTGGCTTGTACGTGAACCAAAATTAAGATGAGAACGAATAAGAAAAAAACCAATTCTTCCAAATGGGATGACAAGTATTTTTTTTTTTATAGGATGTGATACATAAAAAATTTTTTTTTTTTTTTCGGGAACGGGAACCATTACACAAATTTTTCGGGGCAAACTTCCATATTTTCCATATAAGGTTCTTTTTAGTCAAACTTTAGTGAACTAATTAAAAAAAGCAGTAATTCCCAAAATTCCAAATTACAAATAACCCCGAAAAAGAAATAAACAGATTAACAGATAAACATTAAAATTAGCTTATGTAAAGGAATAAAGTGGAAAGAAATCGATTTAAAAGAATAAAAAATTCATTGTTTTTGTTATTTATGTACAACTCATTTAAGATTTCGATCTGACAGAAAAATTTGTGAAACAAACAAATGAAAAACGTCAAGATAATTAATTTTTTAATAAAACTAATTTCTATGAGCAAATTCACATGAAGAAGTCTTAAAAGCAAGTTAAACTGTTTTGGAGGTAAAAATCAAATGCGTGCTCACATGTTCCCTTATATCGTCAAGTATCACTTTGTTTTTTCAGTTTCTTCTTCATTACTATTTTCCGTATCCCTAAATTTTAAAATTAATTAGATTTCTTATTCTTTAAACAATAAAATAATTAAATTTGATAATATTTACCAATATTTCTCATTAAAAGGTTTACCATTATATAATAATATAGGTTCTCTTTCCAGAATATCATCACATACATCACTTTTAGAAAATTTCATGGTAACATCTAAACCATCCAAAAATTTTTCACAAGATTTATTCCACACAAAACTTTTACATTTTTTACCATTATTTATTACAGAAACCATAATTAATGGACAAACAGAAGCCTTAAATCTGTTGATTGCTTCATCACTAAAACCAGATTTTGAAGATAATATACCAAAAGTATTCTCTGATGTCAATCCCGAAACTACTCCTTCTAATTCTCTAACAGAACTTGGAGGACATTTATTTGAGTAATTTTTACATTGACCTACTAATTTTAACTTTTGTCCATTTGGTAAATTCCACCCACCTCTAAAATCTATTCCAGAATCACTTGCTCCTCCCACTCTACTTGTTATCATACCAAAATTTTTTTGTAAGCATGAAATCGTTTCATATTCATATAATGTACCTTTATATACAGATGATTCAGTATTTATATCTTTTATTAATAAAAAACTTTCCAAATCTTTATGTTCTTTTTTATGCACTTTTTCACAAGATGGATTTTGCTTTTTCAAGAGAAATTTATGATGTCGTTTGATAAGATCCAGTAAATAATATTGTCGTACCGATAATATAAAATTTCTTGGGCTAAAATTATTTCCAAAACTATCCTTATTTGCAAGGGTTAATGATTTTATACTTGAAAATATTTTTTTATTCATTTTAAATATTAGTTAACAGTAACAAAACGAAAGCGAAAATGTAAGTGTAACAAAGCGAAAGCGTAGAGATTAGAGAGAGAAAAAAAAAGAAATTAAAAATAAGAGTTTATTTGTATAACATTTGACAAAGTCCGTAACAGGGATTTTATTAACGTGTATTAATTGCTAACTAGGTGACATTGTACTAACATACATAGTGTGTACATTATAGTGGCGCAAATTTTTGTGACAAAGTGACAAATCAGTAAATATAATCTGGTATGTACTACGCAATCTACTTATTCAGGACCACTTTTACCATCTTGATGATAAGCTTCAGGATGACTTTCTTTTGGTTCAATTTTTAAAGTTTGAGCAGCATGATGTACAGCGTCAGAAAGAACTTCTTTAGCAGCCGTTAAATGAGGATGATTACTTTTTTCTATTTGTGTATTCGTTAAATGATGCTTTTCTGGATCATTATTAGATTTTTCTTTTTCGTCCTTTGGAATTTGTGGAAGTGGTTTGTCTGACATTTTTTTAAGAATATTACAATATTTTAATTTATTGATTTGGATTTTTTTTCCTCCAATTTATAATCTTTAATATTATTAACTTTTCTTTATGTCAACATGACGTCATGGCCAAGAGAAACGTCATATACATATTGAGGCTTAAAGTTTTTGGCGTTGTGTGTTTCACACGTTTCACAAGAACCCTACTTACTTTTTGCCCGTGTTTCAACGTTACAACCGATCGTGATAACAGTGATGACAGTTACGGAGTTACTTCCCCTATTACTGTAAAACTCGGATATTAAAAATCTTTAATTCTGGAAGAACTAGGCCGATTTTGGTCATTGTGTCACATAATTGTTCGGGTAGGGGTATATATTTAATTATCCTTTTTTGAATATAATATTTATTATTTATTATTATTCTTTAAACCTTACCGAACTTTTTAATGTATCATTAGAGTTTGAAAATTATTATCGCGTCAATTGTCATTTCAATTTATATTCGGGTTTTCGGGAAACACTAATTCAAAGTCAACCCCAAAAAAAAAAACGCCTAAGACTCCATATTTGGAACATCTAATAGAATAAAGAATATATGAAATAATAAATAATATAAAAACAATAATAATATTATTATTAATAAAAAAATACTTAATATATGTTCAAGTTCAACCCACGGAGAAAACTTGCCGACACAAATAACAAATTACTGAAAGTAAAATATTTCAAAGTAATACAAAAAAAAAATAAGACCAATAAAAAATAAATGAATAATTATTTGATAACTTTTCTGTAAGTAAAGAAATCTTCTAAATAAGTTGATCTTAATTATTTCATTAATGACTTTTCTGTGGATGAAGACTTTTTTTTAATAAACAACTAAATTAGTTACCTAAATAAAGAAGTAATGAAAAATATATATTTATTATATTATATTATATTATATTATATATATATATATACTATAATTAACAATAATTTAATATGAAATATTAAATATTATTTGAATAAAGAAACGAATATGAAACATGCGTTACCCGAACTTTTTTTTTTCAGTTACTGCGGTCAAATAATGGTCAATTCATGACCAATTCAGTGAACAATGATTCTTGTAATACAAAATACCAAATACAAACACATGAACTTATTAATTTAACTTTAAAATATATTTTGTATAGGAACAATGTCCGATTTAAGAAAAATTTAAATATAATCTTATTTGAACGTTCTAACCACTTCAATTTGATATAATTTTTTTTTTTTGGATTTTTTTAATTTAAATAAAGCTGAGAATAACCGTGATTTACGATTATTATCATTTTTATTTTTTTCTCTGTTGACATTTAATTTTAATAATTGTAAAAATCAAAAAGTACTAATTTAAAGATGACTCAAAATTATCTTCAAGAATACCAAAGTAAATTCAAATTTAAAAATTTCTTTCATATAAATTTATTAGATATTATGGAAATAATTAACCATTTATAAAATAAAAATTCTTTCTAATAGGTCAACACCATCAAGAAAATGATATTTTTACTTATAATTTTACCCAAAATGGTTATTCTCATGAGAATGCATATACTGACTCTCAATTATTTCAACTATTGCAATTAAACACAATTACTCATTCTACCGAACCGAATCCTCTAGATAAGAATATCATTACAGATGATTCTTCTAAATCCAAGTGCGCTGATTGTTTAACAACTTCTGCTCCAAGGTGGAGAGTTCGTCAAGATGGAGAAAAAGTGTGTAATGCGTGTGGTCTATAGTAAGTTTTCAGTCTTCAATCCAATCTTAAATCTTTTTTTTTTTTGTTTCTAATTAATTTTTGTTTAATCTAATTATCTAATTTCTATATTTAGTCGAAGAAAGCATGGTAGTAAACGACCACTTGAGATGTTAAAAGAATGTAATACAATAAACTTACTCAACCAACCGGAAATTTGCATAAGTTGTGGGATTAATGAATCTAATGGGGAAGGATACTGTAATGCTTGCGGTTTATACGCTGTTTTTAATTTTTTGAATTCAGGAGATGAGAACATGAATGTAATAAATTCTCTTGACCACATAAATAATAATCTCACAACTCTTAACGAAGAAAATATAAATATGGACCAAACCAGTTATTTTCAAGATTATCAAAGTAATATTATTATTTTTTTCAAATATTTTGGAAAATAACACCAAGTTAACGAGTTAACGTTTAATTTCTTTTTTTTTTTTTGGTAGATCAATTCTCCACTACATATCAAGAAAATGATATTACCACATATGATTTTATGCAAAATTATGAAAAAAATAACAATGAAAATAACACTCAGGTTGACCCTAAACAATTACAGTTAACTTATTTCAACGCGGAGAATTCTCTAAACGATGATAATATAATGGATGATTTTTCCTGTGCTGACTGTTTAGCAACTTCTGCTCAAGTGTGGGAGATTCTTCAAGATGGGAAAAAATTGTGCAGTGAGTGTGTGTCTTAGTAAGTTTTCAATTTCCAATTTTATTTTTATATTTTATTTTATTTTATTTTTTTTTTTGGACTTATTAAATTATTTAATTCTTCGTATTTAGTCGAAAAAAGTATGGCAGTAAGCGACAGCTTGAGATGACAAGGAAAAACAGTGCACTAAACATATTCATAGACCCAGATCAACCGGAAATTTGTGTAAATTGCGGAATTAATAAATCTGTTGAAGGAGGCCATTGTAACGCATGTAAATTGTACGCTGTTTTTGATTCTTCGAGTTCAGGGGATGAAACAAATACTCCTGACTATACAAGTTATGGTATGATCAATCAATCAAAACAAGGAAAAATCGTAAATATGGATCAACCAAATTATTTTCAAGAGTATCAAAGTAAATTTTGAGACAAAGTTTCTTTCAGAAGATAAATATGAAGATACGGAGCTAACTGTTTTAAATTTTTTTTTTTTTTTTGTAGATCAAAACTCCAGTTCATATCAAGAAAATGATTTTAATTCAAATAACTACAAACAACAAAATCATTTTATCGAGACAGACCTACAATTTAACGCAACTAATAATTACGAGGCTAATATAACAGATGCTTCTCTAAAAATCACATGTGCTGATTGTTTAACAACTACTTCTCCAAGATGGAGAGTTCGTCAAGATGGGGAAAAAGTGTGTAATGCATGTGGATTATAGTAAGTTTTCGATTATCAATCCTTTTTTTTTTTCTAATTAATTTTATTTAATCTAATTTGTTTGTTTAGCCGAAGAAAGCATGGTAGTAAGCGGCCATTTGAGATGACAAGAGAATACAATACAAGAACAATTTTCGCAAATCAGCCAAAAATTTGCGTATACTGTGAATCTAGTGGAGAAAAACATTGTAATGCATGTGGATTGTACGCTACTCTTGGCTTTTTAAATTCGAAGGATGAGAAAATGGGTGTGAAGAACACTCAACCAAACCATAACGAAAACGATATGGATCAACCTAACTTTCTTCAGGGCTATCAAAGTAAATTCAAATTAAGTTTCTTTCAAATAATTTTAATAAATAACATGTAGTTGACTTAAAAAAAAAAATATTTTTTTAATAGGTCAATACTTCATATCATATCAAGAAAATAACAATTCGATATATAATTATATACAAAATGATTATTCTCTTGAAAATACTTGTGCTGAATTACAAAAATTACAATTAAACACTTCTACTTATTCTACCGGGCAGTATTCTCTAAATGATAAAAGTGATAATAACAAGAAAATTCTGTGTGCTGATTGTTTAACCACTTCTGCTCCAATGTGGAGGATTCGTCAGGATGGACAAAGAGTCTGCAACGCATGTGGATTACAGTAAGTTTTAATTTTCAATCATCTTTTTTATTATTAAATTTTATTAAAAATTTTCATTTCAATTTAGCCGAAGAAAGTATGGTCGTAAACGACCATTAGAGATAATGAGAGAATGCAAAAATAGAGTTAGAAGAAGAACCATTTTTACAGATCCAGAAAGTTGTGCGAATTGTGGAACCACCGAATCCACTAATTGGAGAATAATTGGCGGGAGAAGATATTGTAATGCTTGTGGATTGTGCGCGATAATTAATAGGAGACCACCTAGAAGCTCGAAAAGTACTAAAAAATAGACTTTATCCATACTACCTAAGATAATAGGATATAATGCGAAATCTATGATCATTAATTTCATTTATAGAGCTAGCATTTCAATACGAATGCAAATTATACACTGTTATTATGATTTATTTATTGTTGATTTTTCTATGTATTAAAATTTTATTACGGCAATTTGAATAAACTTGTAGGCATAATATTTAATTTAATTAGGTTATATTAATTATTAATTAAATGTAATTCTGGTGAAAAAATATATTACCTCAGGAATTGATTACATTTTAAAACATTAAAAAATAAAGATTTTTAACGATAAATGTTTATATGTTTTGAAATATTTGCTGCTGGATCAAATAAACCAATCCTTTTAGTTTAAATAATTCAACAAAATGTGATCCATGCATAAAGTGACATTGATTTTTAGTAGCTTCTCCTAATTCACAATTTAGCTTTAACTTTTTTTTACTGTTTTATAATCTGCTCTTCGACTACCTAATTACAATATCATCTCTCGTATTAGAAGCATGTGACAACAAAATTTGCTGACACTGATTTTATACTATGGTAATTTTTTATGTTATTTGGAAGAGAATGATTACAATCATATTTATGTCGATAAATATTCCGCAATAATAATCATCCATGACCAGCATAACCTATCTTTTTTTTTCCTCATTTTTCTATTTATTCTTAATTTAAAATGAAAGTAACAAATTTTTGCAAAAAATTTAAAACGAAAAACATAAATGACTAAAAGAGTAAAGCGACAAACGAGAGGCCTAAAGCGTCGTTCCGGATGTGCCGGATCGGAATACCCCAGTAACCCCACCCGAAAAGCTCATTTCGAATCACGTGCCACAAACCTGTTACTGTGGCCCCGGTACTGAAACAAAAATAAATCATTTTTTCATCACCACGAAGAGCTTTGCTAAATTTCTTGTTTGTCGGTATGTGTTATTCGCTAATTACGAAAAAGAATAAAATAAATAATACTTAAATAAATAAATAATGTACATATTTTAGAAACTATTGATTTTTTCGATGGGTTTCTTATTTCTAAATATATTCTCTTTATAAAAAAAAGTTATTTTACTTCTTTTTAATCACGCTATAATATCTAAAGGACTCAACTCCTAACCAAAGACGAACATCCAATTGAATTAATCTGATAAGGAATGCCCCTTGTATCAAATGTATGGTTCAACAATATAATATTAACAGTAATTCATGGATAGTTTATCGATTTAATAAACATAATACTCGAAAAGGAATTCCGCATGAAACATGTCGTATAACGAAAATTCGGCCTTCTAATATATTGACATAAATCAAAATTTAACGCCATATTTCTGAATAGAAATACGGGTTGAATGGTTCAAAGTGAAAAGCTTAAACGTTCAAAAATTATCTGAGATTTAATTATAAAAGAAACTTTAAAGTATTGTCATCCGCCAAAATTGTTAGTGCATAAAAGAATATGTAACTGAAAAGCTGGACTTAGAAGAAAGTGTAAGAGAATTAAGACTACAAATATAACATATAAGCGTGTGAACCTCTTGATGATGCACATTCTATTAGAAATAAGAAGCGAGGATTAGATATTCAAGATTCTATCACCTTCTTAGAAAAACAAGAATAATTTAATGAAATTTCTCATTTATCCATCTTTGATACATCCCAATCAACTTAAAAAATCTTGAGCAACATGGCTGATTAACTCTTTATTGATCCCACAGACAAAGACAAACAAATATGATTTTCACTTGTTTACTTCGCAATAATTATGGATGTTGGCCCACTTCTTTGAAGTGGTGAAGATAGTAACATTATTGCAGATGATGAAGGTTTGCACGTCACTGGAGTCTGAAATATATTTTTTTCTGACCAAAAATCTAACGGTACTAAATGGCTTTTCCGGATCTTGAAAACGGTGAACAAGAGTGTTATATTCTTTTTTGCACAGTGCATATTATGCGAACTTGAATGAATAGAATTTATGACAAAAAGATACAGCGAAATTGGTTACGATCAATGAATGTTCAAATCCAACTATCAAACAATTCAAGAAATTGATACATTCTGAGCACGACACCTCAGCTTTTGCAGGTTACCTCAACAAATGCTCCATAGTGGATTAATGAAATAATCCCCTCATAACATGGTTTAATTGGTATGTAATATTTGTATTAATATTTTGTCTTTATTAAATATTAATTAAATTTATAAATTTTCACTTGATGAGAAAGACGTTCAGATTCAGAGCATACTGCTTATGAATTTCGTACTAAAGAATTTCAGCTATTGGTATTGATGGTGAAGTTCACAAATACCCATTTTCTGTTCAACAAATGAATTGCACTGTTGAAGAATAAATGGAAAAAAGCAGGTCTTACATCTCTAAATTATAATTGTTATTTTTTTATCGATACTTGTTACTTTGTTGTCATATATTTATTGAAAATATGTGTGGCGTTACAAAGCTGTTGACATCCGACGTATGGGAGAGATTTCAGCAGATGAATGATTGATGAGGCTGGTTCGGATTGTGAATTAGTTGACTTGGAAGTACCCGAAATAACCGAAACTGAAAAGGAAATGGAGAATCAACGTCTAGCTATAAGTAATTAATGGAAAGAATGCGAAGTATGTATTTGAGGATTGAAGAGAAAGGTAATACAGAACAAACTGGTGCATTCATCAGAGAATTAAAAGACCGTTTAGAACCTGTTCTAAATAATTAGATGGTATAAAGGTAGAAAATTAATAAATAAAATCCATTAAAATTTACCATTAAATAAACATGAATGCAAAAGTTCTCCATTTTTTATTAAAAATAAAAAATAATCATATTTACGGGGAAAAAATAAAACATTATTCATCCGATTATCCGGAGCGACTTTTCCGGCGTCACCATAAAAATTCATTATTACGTGATCATATGGAAAATAATTGTCACACTCCTCCGCTCTCCAACTGCTGTATTCCAAACTTAGAATTTGTTATTTGTTCTCCCAAAAAAGATAACAATATAATAATGTAGCAATCTTGTACATCTTCACAAAGACTTTGTTTACCGGTATTACACGAAATCAAGAATTATTTTATGAATAACACGAACGATATTTATGTGTTCTTTATTCATTATTTAATTCCGCTTAAAATTAAACTATCATCCACAGGCCACAAGTCACATGATAGCGTGATGGTCAATATTGAGCACGAGCTGAGACCCTTAGTCTAACAAGGATGTTTAGCATTTAATCGACGTCAGTGCAAGCGCCGCAAGCTGAAAGCTTTATCTCAGAGTAAGTTTTAGTTATTATAATCTTTCCGACCCCTATCTACAAAATTTCGCACATCTGTTTCCTCTCGCTCACACAGATCGTGTGATGAAGCAAGAGACGAAGTATCCAAGATATTTATTATATAATAAAGGTTTGATACGATACTGCACTAAAATCACTAAAATCTAGATTCAAGCTGGGAAATCAAACCAACATACCTTGATATTAATTTGCGGAATATAAGAGTTCGTCTGATTAATGATATTGAATGTAAGTAGTAAGTTTGATTATTTCGTTTTTACTTACACTAACAAGGACACCAACTTTATATATTCCCAAGATTGATTTTGGAATATATTTTTGAGGGAAATTACATTCACATAATGATCATTTACTGGTCATTTTTATATAATATACCGTTATGAATTATTCAAATAAATCATCCTTTTTTTTAGATAGTTTTATTAATTGTGTAAAACTATAAATATTAAAATGAACAAATGTTAAATATTAAATTTTAAAATTAAATTTAAAATGCAAGAGTATAACCGTAGGTGATCATCACATGTAGTAATATATTGGTTAAATATATGTTTAAATAGAAAACTGTGACAGTACAGTAACACTACTGTTTTTAAAATTTTGGCAATCACAGACTGTATTATTTTCAAAGCACCTGTATCAAGAATGGTCTTGTATCAATAAATCAATAATCAAGCGTGATGGAAATTGCTTAACTACTTTAATAAAGATATTATATAGACTAAAAAAAGGCTCACGAGAATTTACAAATAATACGAGAAAAGTAACTTTAATTATAGTAAAATTACGTTTATACTTGTCCTTAAATTTCCTTACAAAGTATCTTTTCACTTCTTATGATAAAAAGTAATCGTACAATTCTATTCTAACTTGATGGCTAAAGTTTAGATATATCACCCCAAACATTCCTCCTCTATCACCGGAATGCAGGTTCTCGTTGCAGAAATTTCAGGATTGACAATTTTTTCACAAGGTACTGGGAGATAAGGCGTTTTACGATTGAGGTCTAGCGGTTGCTGATCTGTATAACTCCATATTTAACTACTTTCTGTTTGGCAAAATTGATAGGTTCTTATATCAATCAAAAAGCATATTGCAACTCATCAAATAACTTGCTTCTATTTGTACACCAGCACCTAGTCTTTCTCATAAACAGTCCCTTGTCGGGACCTTCATTAAAATAAATGCGGTTGAGTGCGTGTTCTTGTTAACATAGAAGACCTGATCTCTTGATGTTTTTGTAGCCGCCTAAAATTATTTCTCATATGGCAATAGAACAATAAAATGTAAGAAGAAAATTTCGGTCGTACCTCTGTGCCTCACCCGGGAATTCACAATTTCGGGTGGAGTAGTAAATTTCTTGATAATTTGAATGTTTTAGTTGTGGCGTTGTATTAGCTAAAGTGAGCTTGCTGGAGTAACAGTTAAAAGTTTGCTATAGATGATCGACGAGAGAATTTAAAAATTTTTTTCAGTGACACGAGTTTTTTTATGGTAGTCATAAATTTAACGTGTCAATGATAATCTTTAAAATTGCCTATGTATAACGTTTATTCCGGTATCACAAGATTTTTTTTTTGATATATATATAGTTATTGTCATTTTGGGAAATTGAAACTTTCTTCTTTACACAATAAATATGGTAGAGAATTATTTAATAATTGGAGGAGATGGATTTGTTGGTAGATGGGTAGTGGAAATGTTAATTAAAAGGGGAGAAACATCAATAACAGTATTTGATATTGTTCAAAGGTATTTTGATAAAGAAATAAAACATTATCAAGGAGACTTATCAAACTATGATGATATTAGTGATTGTATAGAAAAAGAAAATATTACAGCCATAATTCATACAGCTTCACCACCTCATGATGGTAAATCTGAAGGATTATTTTGGGAAGTTAATGTCGAAGGGACTAAAAATGTTATTGAGGCTTGCGTTAAATTTGGTGTTAAGAAGTTAGTTTATACAAGTAGTTCTAGCGTTGTTTATGATGGTTACTCTGAATTAATTAATACTGACGAAACTGCTCCTTATCCTGAAAAACATATGAACGTTTATAATGAAACTAAGGTAATAGATAATTTACGAGTTTTTACGTTATACACTTCTTTAATAATAATTTTAATAATATATTTATAGGCAGCAGGAGAGAAACTTGTATTAGAAGCGAACGGAAGGAATGGTTTATTAACTTGTGCACTTCGACCTTGTGGTATTTTTGGGTAAATAATCGATATTCTACATTATTTCATAAAATATCAAATATATTTGTTATTAAAAATAGTTCTTTATAGACCAAATGACAGGCAAGCAATTCCAGGTTTTATTAAAGTAATGGAACAAGGACAAACGAAATTTCAAATAGGAAATAATGAGAATTTCGTAGATTGGACGTACGTGGAAAATTGTGCTTACGCACATATTTTAGCTGTCGATAAATTATCCGTAGAAAATCAAACAGCAGGCGAAGTAAATATAAAATATTTTGCATTTGTATACAAATATTTATTAATCAAATTTTCTTACTGGTTTTTTCGCGTTTTTGAAGGCATACTTTATAACGAATGGTACACCAGTTCCATTTTGGGACTTATGTAGGCTTATATGGGCACAGTTCAATCATTATCCACCATATATTTTAAAATTTCCTAGTTCATTTGGGTTCGTTATCGCTTCACTTGCTGAATTGGCAAGTTATATTACCGGTAAAGAACCCGGATTTACTAGATTTCGTGTTAGATTTGCTACTACCAATAGATATTTTAATATTAATAAAGCTAGAAATAGATTAGGATATGAACCTTTGGTAGATTTAGAAGAAGGAGTTAAAAGAGCTTGTCAACCCGTTCTTAATTCACTTAATAATAACTAAAAATTTAATTAAAATTGGATAATTTTATTTGGAACTTTTTATTTAAAAAAACTGATTTAATAATTTTTTTCAAAAAAAAAATTGATTTTAAAAATATAATAAATTAATATATATGATTGTTTTTCATAGATAAATTCTCATAATAACTATTATTATAAAATTTCTTTTTTGGTAAATGTTCATTATAATCTATGCCGTATACCGTAATTTCACTTTTATTTACTCCATTTCCATTTTTCAGGAGCCTCATTAGTCAGACCGGCCATTTTCTTGGTTTTATCATGATCCTCAAATGCACGTTTGATATCTTCTCTCAAGTCTTCATGACCAACTAAAATTCTATCAGCGAAATGATGATTGGTATCACGATGTGTAGCTTCATCTGCTCTAACTGCCAATACCACATCTCTTAATGTAGCTGTATTTTTATCTAAATTCCAATAATCTATGGCGATATCTGGTACGTTTTTGGAATTTTCAAGATTTCCATTATCGATTTCTAACAACAAATAATGTCATCATTTAACTATATACCGAAGAAAAAAAAGATGAAGTATCTAATTTACCTTTTAAGAAAGAATTGTAAGAAACAATTGCTTCTTCTTCAAGATATCCAACCACACGATGAGCTGTTCTTGGACTAATTAAATATAACATGAAGAACATGTTATAAAATCCACCTTGCACGAGAGTGATCAGACTGCGTTCCCACCAGTTAGGTTGTGAAATACGCATCCATGTCATCAAGTGCATACTAAATAAAGAAAAAGGTTAATTAATTTTTTTTTTTTTTTTTTTTTTTGAAAAATGAAGTTTCTTAAATATTTTAATATCTCTACCGTTCATTTTCAGCTTCATGAAGTAAATGATCAATCCAACCGCCATCATGTTGCAATTTTCTTAAAGAACGGAGATGACGGATTGTAGCTCCGACCATACCAGGAACTGCGGCAACCTAAAAAAAATTTTAAATTAGATCACTAACAAATTTTCTGCAATAAAATTCATCCGCTGCACCCTACTTACAGTTTCTAACATAACAGCACGATGAATATATTTCTTCTTAAAGAACCAATCGGTAGGAATTCTTAATATTCTAACTGTATAAAAAGCAATCTTGTCACTCCAAGTAACTGGTTGACGATGTAAATCTGGGCTGATATCAATATTTTCTAAGGCCTTAGAATCTAAAGGTGTTTTTGATTCGAGAATTTCATGACGAACAGGTTTTGGATGATGCAAATAAAACAAATCTTCAGGAATTTGATGTATTACATCAGGTTCTTTCCCGTTTATGGTTGCATTGGCTGATTGCATTCGTGATGCGTGGATAGTAAATGCTCTAGTAAGTAAGAACATCGAATTTTGTGGTAAAATTGATTTATGATAATGGCCTGCATTATTAACAGCCGTTTCGGTGAAAGTAGTTGTGTTACGAAGAAATGTGTTACGAAAAACCGAGCGAATCATTTTTCTTTTTTCTTAAAGTGAATTTTATCTCTGAAGAGGTTTTTTTTATCTTTGAATATTATCTTTTACTGAAAAAAAAAAAAAATTTAGAAAAATACAGATTATTTATATAAAAAAAAGCTCTATCTTGCCAATCGTGGGAATTGTAGATCATTTTACAAGTTATTTTGTTATTTTTATTCCATAATTGGCATTGTGCATTTGACCGTACTTCAGTACAACGAATAATGGCGATTTTCGGAATTTATTAAAACTTAGCAGGTTTATTGTACAAATGTCAACCCTTATTCAGTATCTATAAATTATAAGTAGCTGTATAAACATGTATTAAAAAATTAGTTTTTTTTAGAAATTAACACGTAATATATCGGGATTATATTGTAAATATAATGACAAAAATTTATATTCCCTTTTTATTCCGATATGCAAATATGTGACGTACTTATAAAATTTGATTTGTCATAGTTTATGTGATTAAAAATTAGAATATACCTGATACAGAAAAGATAATCCATAGATCCAGCCATTTACGTTATTTATTATTTACTATTTAAAATTATAGTTAAATGTTGCTTAATAATCAGATCCAATTCTTTATTATTACATGTCAACCGGAAGAAAAACAGTAATGTAAGAATCCGTTCTGAAATTTAACCAATCAAACATTCATATAATTAAAATACCTCCAAGTTGACATGGAAGGTTTAATGTATTACAATTGGTAAGTATCTTTTACTTAAGAACGATATAACTAAAATCCAGTTAAAGTCATATATTTAGCCAACTTTTTATTAGTACAAATGAAGTTTTACTGGACGAGTATAAAATTTATTATTTATTATATAAAAATGAAAAAGCATTGAAATCTACTAATTCATCTTACCGATAGGTGCAAAATATATTTAAATATAAAAATACGAATTTTAAATATTTCTATTCTTATTTGTTTTTAACTAATAAGCACGCATGTGATATTTAAATTTTACCGGATTATTTCCTAGAAATAACGACTTTACCTTCTCGCTACTGGTCCCCAAATAACTTTTACCATTATTAAATTTTGTTCGTATTCAGAGATTTTTACTACTGAGAAGCAAATAAAAGAGAACATACTGAAATTAACAGATTTAACCAAAGTCGTCTTTAATAGTCAACGAAATTAGAAGTTTATATGAAGTGGTAAGAACGGGAAGTTTATACTGTATATAGTTTATTATTTAAAATGCAGCAAATCGCGAAATATAAGAAAATGAAAATTCATAGTACAAAATTTATTGAAAAAAAAAGAAGTGAACATAATTAATTACGAGTGCAGCATATGTTAAAAATTGTGATGGAATTGAAGAAAATGCTAGAGTTCATTTTACACGATTCAAATATCCTTCTTATGAATCTTTTATAAATAATTATAGACTGAAATGAAGGTAATATTAAAAATGATGCCTTCCAAATTAACGTTAAAATATGACAAAAAATTTACAAATGAGACAAACGCGAACATCTTACAATAATTAATACCATAATTAATTGCTTCTATAAAGCCTTGATTTAATCTTTCGTATAAGCAAATAAACGATTGGTTGGCTGCCTTACACAAGCATTGCAGAACATGACTTTTAAATGTTGAGCGAGATGTAATTGATAAAGATAACAGAAGGCTGCATAAAAACAATAGATTGAATAAGGTAGAATCTGTTTTTTACTGTTATTTCGAAATTGATACTAAACATTCATTATATTTCAGAAAAAATCATGTAGAGTCAAGGGTGCTCTTTCACTTTTCAAATGTAATAACAATCAAGTAAAAGATTATGATAAGACAGAGGTCCTAAACATTCTGAAAGATACTGGCTACCATTCACCCGAAGACTCAGAAATGGATAAAGAACAACTAAATGGTAACAGAAAAATTATTATCACTTATAACTTGAGTTGGCATTCCGATGAGGTATAACAATCTTTTCTTATCATATTTTATTAAAAATATCAACTAATTTTATTTGTTTTAATGACTTTATAACTTTACAACTTATTAATTTTCTTCAAAACGTCTTGGATACTCATGTATTTTCTCTACAAATGGTGCAATTAATGAAGGGAGAAACTATGATGACAAAAGGTATTGTATCACCTTACAACACCCTAAAAATACTTCAGAATGGGTGTATAAAACTCAAAATACACCTGCCAATACAGATTTTCTGGTTCTAACACTTCAGCTGATAATTGTAAATCGCAGTCACAGACTAATGATAATACCCAAACTGAATATAATGATTAAATCTTATATAGATTTATGATGAAATTTATTTATTTTATTATTTTATGACAGATTTATTGCAAAATATTCATTTCTTATTATTGACTGCTTTTTAATAAATTTTAATAAATTTTATTAAAATAAATATATAATTAATTATTTTGATTTATTGTTAAATAAATCAGTTATTATTATTATAAATAAACTAAATTTGGCATTTCAAAAGAAATAAATTAGTAATTTTTCATAAATGTGTAGTGCTCTGAAATGAGTCAAGTTGACTCACAAGTTGGTCGAGTTGAGTCGAATTGAAAATTACAATCAAATCGAATCAATTCAAGTCGAGTTGATAATTTAATAAAATCGAGTCGAGTCGAGTTAAACTGAATTAAACATAATTCCGGCCAAATTTATGGAATTTCCTTTTTTGGAAATTATGTTACACAAAATCCAAGATAAAAATTTTTTGAAAATTACAAAAATGGAATTTTGTGAAATGGCTATTGCCAAAAAAAGGAAATAATCAGCATAGCCTAAAGTTGCTTGCCGAAAATAAAAAGGCCATTGTTGAAATAGTAAAAATAATTTCAACATTTCGACATGATGAAATGACAAAATTATTTTATTATTAAAATTGACTAAAATGCAAATGACGAAATGGAAAAATAATTTCAACAATTTTGACAAGCAACTTTAGCATAGCCAAAGAAAATCACGTGATTTAATTTGACTCAACTCAATTCAGTTTGACAGGCCAACTTGACTCAAATCGAATCAAGTTTATATTTTTTATAATTTTAACTTGACTAGACTCAACTTGATTTAATTCGAGTCAAATTGAGTTTACATATACTAATTTGACTCGACTCAACTTGTTCAGAGCACTATAAGGCCACTCCAACTTACACTTTTGATTAACATAACCCCACCCCCCTAAATTTTAGAAATTTTGAATAAAATTAAACAAACAGTCATATGACTTAAACTATGTGAATTCAAATTTTATTATGTGTTAGATTTATTATTTGATAAAGTTAAAGGAATATTATATTATAAAAATTGTTTTTACAGTTTGTTTGAAATGTTTATGATGAAATTTACAAAAAAAAATAGTATATACTAATTAAGTTTTTGCCTTTTGTTAGAAATGCCAGGTATTTTCTTCTTACCCCATGTATGAATCTTACGACCACCAATCTTACAATTAGAACAAAGAGGATATACTGACTGATAATTTTCTAAAATATCATCATCAATATCAATTAAAAATTCTTTTAATTCACAATAATAACATAATTGATCCTTTTGTAATCTACGTGAATAATATTCTACTTCAATTGGGGAATTACAGGTGAGCGCTTGTTTTGTAAACAGAAGGCCTCCAAGTGAATGATCCTGAAGAAACAAACATTCTTCACAACTATATCTTATTTGGTCAATATATATGTTAATTTGATCTTTTTGCTCAAAAGTTAATACTGCTATACTATATAAACATCACGTTTTTTCACAAAAATGGCAAATAACAAAAGCATGAATCTTGGTATTGTTAAAAATACCTTTTGGCATATCTGATGCTTCAGGTTGTGCCATACAGCTTAGCCGATATTTATCAGAAGTTTGAGTACCGTATATTGTATTAAATTCCTTGTAATGATCCTTGTCACCTATAAATAAAAATGCTAAACATCAAATATTCATCTATATGATTAGAGCTCCGGACGAGTCGAGTCGAATCGAGTTAAAAGGTAACTCGTACTCGACTCGGCAAAATCGAGTCGAGTCGAGTCGAGTTAAAATTATAAAATTATCCAATCTGACTCGACTCGAATTTAAAAATATTTTAACCTGAACTTGAATCGACTCGACCGAGTCAAGTTTAACCCGGGTTAAACTCGCAAACTCGCGCATTTTATTTATGTAATTATGTTTATTTATTTTATGTCAAAAATTAATATTTATATTCCTTTATATTTATTTATATTTATATATTTATTCGTATAGATTATTTATTACATTTCAATTCTGTTTTCCACCAAGATTTTATGCACATGCAAGCACGGATTGTTTCAGCTGAGAGACTGCATCTTTTTTGACTTATAAGATCAGTACCACCCGAAAAAGCTTTTTCGATTGGTGTGCTAGTTGCTAATATAAATTTAAAATTATTAAATTAACCTTAAACAATAAAAGATTTAAATTTTAAACAATATATTATTACCAGGGATCGCAAGATAATCACGCGCCATTGCTGCCAAGTGCGGATATTGGGATTCGTTCATCTGTTGTTAGAAATTAGAAATTAGAATAAATTTAATAAATTTAAATTGTAAAATTTGTTTATAAAATTGTTTAATTAGCATACCTTCCACCATTGTAATAAATCTACTTCACCAGGAACAATTGGACTTCCCAAATATAAATCCAATTCACTTTCGTTTCTTGATGTACGCCATTTTTTATATATATGACTAAGAAGATCATCATCAGCGATAAGATCTTCATCTTGAATATTTTGGTCTATTCTTGGTGCGTATGTTGAATCATATAACTTCCTAATATCATCTCGTGCTTTCGTGATATACTCTTCTTTCCAATTATGATCCTTATAATATGTAAGTTTTAACCGGAGATCAAGAACTAAAATAATAATATAAAATAGAAATAGAAAAATTAATTAATATAAACATATAAGCAAAAAAATATAAAATCCATATATAAAATAATAAAAAATTTGAAGCATACTAGTAGAAATGGTATATATTATTCCATCAGTATATTGATAGTATTTCTTTAATTTTTCCATTGCATTACAAGCCGCTTTTTTTACAATTTCATCAATATTCGCTTCTTTGTCAAAATCTTCGA